CTTCTAAAAACATATAAAAGTGATAAAAATTTATTTCTCATAAAAGTTTATTGAAAAAAGAAATTGTAATCATATTTTAATAATCTTGATCATGTTTTTAACATTTTAATAAAAGAGATTAAATAATTGAAGAAGAATATAAAAGAAATAGAAGATAGAAAATCAGGAAGAATGGCTAAACGAAGGGAAAGCAGGGAAAGGTAGTGGAAGTTTCTTATTCGTGATTTCAGCATAGGAATCATGATTTCAAATTCTCTGTAATAGAAAATATAGCGTTCTTATGCGACAACTGGAGAAGGAAGCGGTGCGTGGGAATGGCAGCGGAAAAAAGTGCAGTGGAGAAGATTAACGACCGACTATTGTGGAGAACTGGAGAAGAAATTTGAGTTGTTTTTAATTACTAAAACAGTGTCGTATTGGGACCGGTATACCATGCTCATGGTATACCGGTCGCACGGTATAATTTGCGCATTTCAAACCTTTCTATAAAAATTTAGAAGTGATGATAGAAATTACAATTCGTGTCTCAATGTTGATGAGGGGAAAGTAGTAATCATTATTATTTAGAGTGGTAGTTAATATTAGTGGAGTACTGGAGTATATTAATGTCACCACATTTTAAACCTTTCTATAAAAATTTAGAAGTGATAATAGAAATTACAATTCGTATAGAAAAGAAACCTAATTCTCTATATAAATTACAATTCATTTTCATAAAAGTGGAGTGACAAACAAACTTTATGGATCGTAATTTGCTGGTCTGATTTGGTCTGTTTAATTCTGATCTGAACTGGTCTGGTATTGATAAATGATTTGTCTCTGTCTATTTATAATTGTCTAAGTTTGAACTGATCTGGGTCGTTTAAGTTTGATTTGGTTTAATTTGATCTGTTTAACTTTGACCTTGAAGTGAAAACAGATCAAAAGAAAATATACATAGAGGGACAACTACGCAAATCTTTTTAGCAAAATGCCAAAATGGTACCGGTTTTCTGAAATCGAGTAATTTTTCAAAAGTTCTTTTAAAAAAAATATTCGGGGTTACAAATTTACAAATGTCCACAGTCCACATGTCATTAAGAATGAATTAGATAAAAGTTGGTTGATTCAATTTAAAACCACGAAACTATTATTTGGCTAATCAACTACTCCCTCCGGTTTTTAATAAACTTCACACTTTCCTTTTTGGGACGGTCTAAAATAAACTTCACACTTCCTTATTTCTTTTTTTTGGCAAAGAAATCTATATCCAAACAGTGCCAAACAGTGCCAAATAGTGTCTCTACAGTGCCAAACAGTGTCAAACAGTGCCTAACAGTGCCAAACAGTGTCTCTACAGTGCCAAACAGTGTCAAACAGTGCCTCAACAGTGTACTCTACAGTAAAATCAAATTTCTTTCCTTATTTTGTGTGAAGTCAAACTGTGAAGATTAAAAAAAACCGGAGGCAGTAATAAATTTAACCGATCAGGTTACACACATGATGTTTTTTTCTTTCTTCTTTTTGCTGAAGACACACAAGATGTTATTAACAATTTTATGTATAGATCAATGAAGCGAATATCAACATACACTAACGCAAAGTTATTAATTCTTATAAACACCTAAACATTCATCAATAAATTACAACTTTACAAGGACTACGGGTCTAAAACTGCTGATACAATAAACTATCGTCCTTGATTAGTTGTATAATTCAAGTATACCTTTATTTTGATAATTAGTCAATGACAATATATTACGTCTAACAATATTAGGTTTAAACTTTAGACTTTCATGAGCTACTTTGTTCCATAAATTAGGGGTTTTGTAAAAAAGAATATACTTTACCCAAAAATAAGAATTACTTTTAGATATTTTCTAAAGTTTCTCCATCAAATCTTCCACTTCATTATTATCCATTGAGATAGTGGACAAGCAGCCTTAAAATGTGAACACTTGATAAGAATTTAGGGGTTGTTCGGATATTGGCAAAACGTCATTTTTTTAACAAAAGGAAAACCCTGCTATTAGCAACGGGTTGGACACAAACCGCTGGAATCCAAACAACCCCTTAGGGCCTGTTTGGATGGAGTATTTGGAAGTGTTGGTAATGGAAGTGTTAATAAGTCTTAGTAAGGGCTCGGAAGGGAAGGGAAGTGTAAGTGTTAGACATAATTTTACCTTGTTTGGGAGAGTCAAATGAATGAAGTGTTAATAATGGTAGTGTTAAAGAAAGAGTAAAGAAAGAGTAAAGAGAAGAGATGAAAAAACACACCATTAGACCCGTGGGAAAGACATTCGAAGTGAAATGTCGAAGCATTTTATGTTTTCGGGCAAATGAGAAGGGTAATAATTATCCAACACCTCAAAACACTCCAAATCGGGGTGTTAAAAAAATGGACAATTGAGGTGTTGGGAAGGTTATTATTAACACTTCCTAACCATTACTAACACTTCTTAACACCTCTGGTTTTTTCTCCCAATCAAGTGTTAGCATCAACACTTACTAACACTTCCATTACTAACACTCCTCAACACTCAATCCAAACAGGCCGTTAGTCTCAAAGTTTAGTCTCACTCTCACATGATTTGTTCAAATTAGAAGACGTTGGAAATATTGAAGATTGCTATGAGGCACCGGCATTAATCTATTTTGTTGTTAAGTTGTTTGGGACTTGGGAGCCTGTGATTAATCTAGAGAAATGAGGATTAAAACATGTCAACAAAAGGAAAAGTTAAAATGGTTAAATGGGGCATTTATGCTACCACTAAATTTTCAATTAAGCCTTGGGTTCAAGAAACATTCCATCAGATCGACACACGAACTTCTTAAAAACAATGAATTGAATTCACATTTTTAACATGTTACTACGAATAAGTTACTGAGTCACTTATTCACCTTATTCACTTATCCAACAAGCTATTCTACCAAAAATAAAAATTGAAATATCCGGAAAACTATTATATAAGGTTCGATAATTTGTATTCCCTCCGTCTTTAAAACTTCTGATCAGTTTGACCAGCGCAAAGATTAATAAAGTAAAAATTGTGTGGTTCATGTTTGTGCAAATGAGAGAGATTTAATTAGAACCACTAGTTCTTTGCTTAAAAGTGAAAGTGACAAAATTAGTGGACAATCAAAAAAGAAAAATTGACAAAATCTGAACAGAAAGAGTAGAATATAGTGGAATCATTATAAAAAATAATCAAATTGATTCACTTTTAACGTAAAAAACCACTATAAAACCTAAATAATACGGTAATACCTAATCAAGACCGGTTTGGTTATGTGCTTTTATTAGATACTAAACAACATTTGTCCAGAGTTTACGTACTAATTTACTTTCTTTCACATTATAGCAAAATGAATACATGTAGGAAGGTTGTAGATCATCAATTCATCATGGTCACAATAATAAGAAGACTAATTCAAGTACGTCGAACTTGTAATAATACATTGGAATAGTATGTACAGAGACAAACACTTACTATCACACCTTACATATCCATTTCAGTAAAATAATTTAGAATAAAACTAATAATTACAAAATGAAGATAGTAAAGTCGTTGCACACATCTAGATTGAGGAGGATAAGAACTTGATATTCAATTATTTGGCGTGCAAACATTTAATTTATAAATTACTAAAACGGCCTTGACATTTGAGATTTCATGTTATACAACAGTTTAATGATTAAAACCCCGTTTGGTGACCCATTTTTTCGGCTGGGCTTATCAGCCAGCTTTTTCACCAAACATGTAAGTTTTGATTTCGCGCGCTGAATTTTGTAATAAGCAGAAAACATAAGGTTGAAGTTACTTTGTTAGCTGTATTGGCTGAAGTTATTGTAAAGAATCATTTTAACTATTTTTTCATATAATTTTTTATTTAATTTATTAATAACATATATTTTAAATATAATTTTTTCGTATATCAGCAGAATTTGCCAATATAGCCATTTCAGTCTGAACTTCATAAATTTCAGCATACTCAACCAATTCAGTCAATTTTAGTGTTATGAAAGAGGCTCTAATACCACGTATACTATTGTTGTAGGATATTCTATACTCCGTTTTCTAACTTTAATGTATTCTCGTACTTGCATCAACGTACGTATCAGCATATATTCATATCCGTATAACATCAATAAAAATTTAACCGAAAAGCATGAGGTTGTCACACTTCATTTATATCGACCAAAAAGAACTTTATTATTTACGATAAGTATTAGATTCAAATCATTCAATTTAATAAATACAAAACTTATAGTCCGTTTGATTATGCTGACTGAAATTTATGAAATTTTAATTGAAATGAATACATACATGGACTGAATGTGTTGAATTACGAAAAAATATTCTACATAATATGTTTTAAAATATATTTTGTTTATATAATTAAGAAAAAATTTCATAAAAATAGCTAAATTGATGTTCTACAGTAACTTTAATCAATTCAATCAGAAAAATAATTTCAACCGGTTTATTTTAACTATTTATCAATTCTGATGTGAGAAACTATGTGATTGATAAAATATTAATTGATAAAACTCATAAATGGAGAATATATGACTATGGACGAGGTCCTTAATTTCAAAAGTCCATCAGATGAAATTTCTATCTCACCGAGAAAGTTCTGTATCCGTTCTTTTTGTAATTGCCGTTGGAACGTGGCAATCACAACGGTAACAAGAATTGTGTATTTTGTATGCATTTATTTATTTATTTATTGCAGGGGATATTATACTCCGTCTATATCAATAAATAACTCGGCGTACGAAGTTTGAAGATAGACGGCGTCAAAAGTCATTTAACGCGTTACCTTGACTCGTGTCCAGCCGTCAGATCAGAGGCCCGTAAACGTGGACGGTCCACGTTCCTCGACAGGCAAGTAAGGCGTGACAGCTAGTGTAAAACGCAGACCCAGCGCTGTTGCGTTGTCCGCTAATCATTAGTTACAGTTAATTATTTCAAATTTTATTTTTTATTTTGAATTTTCAAACCGACCTTTGGTTTTCTTTTTAATTATTTTCCACAAATTACTCGGCTTCTTTTTTTTCCCATCTTTCCTCTGTCGCTTATATATACTCCTTTATTCTCCGATCAACAACGCCAGATCTAGATTGTTCTTCGAGAGTTTACCGTCTGTTTGAAGTGATATTTGCTCATCTTCTCTCCAGATCTCATCTCTACTTCGAAGATCAGATATGGCTTGCTCTAATGCCTTCCTTGTTTCGCTGCTCGTTTTGGCGGTGGTTGGATCTGCTTTAGGTCAGGCTCCGGCAGCCTCTCCGACGAAACCCGCCTCGCCTGCGCCGAAGAAAGCTTTGACTCCAGTTGCGTCTCCGACCGCCACTCCGCCATCTTCGTCTGCGACGCCTCCTACCGCAGCTACTCCTGCTCAGACCCCTCCAGCCACCGCGTCTCCGCCGTCCCCTGGCATCGCTTCTTCTCCCACCACGGCCACGGGTCCAAGCAGTGTAACTCCTTCAACAATCGCATCTCCTGGCTTTTCACCTGCGCTCGCGCCGAATGCTAACAGCGCTGCCGCTTTGAACAGAGTCGCACTTGCCGGATCTGCAGCGGCAGCTTTCCTCGCCGCCTCACTGCTGTTCTAAACTCTCGGATCTGCGGGATGACGGAGCCTCCTGTCACATTCGCTGGATCTGACGATTTAGGTTTTTTCACTTAGCTATATGTTTTTGTTTTTTGTTTCACTTGCGTTTATTGCTCCGGCTTTGAGCGGTGGCGGTGTTTATCGGTGGCGATTGAGGGGAGAGTGGGTACATTGACTGACCTCGATTCGTTGTTGACTTATTGTTGTTCATTGTTACTATTTGTGATGATATCTACTACTGCTATATTATTTGTATTACTCTTGATACTGTTATGAAAATTTCATTATATTTTTACTCTTGATTTCCCAATCCCTTGTTTTGGTCCAAAGCATTAAACTCAAACTGACGGAATTTGAAATCATGAAAAAGTGATTCAATATCATTGTATGTAAAAGAAGAAAAGGAATTTTGGGGGAATTTGTTGGTATAAACCCTAATCTGCTCCGAATACTCGGGCATGAACATCTGTGAGTTGGGAAGATAAGGTAGTGGGGGTGGGGGGTAGGGATGGCAACGGGGCGGATCGGGGACGGTTTTACATATAACCGTACTCGCCCCGTTAGATAATTTCCCGCCCCGTAACCGCCCCATTACCCAACGGGTAATTTTTACTCAAAGCATAACCGCACCAACGGGTAACGGGTATATTTTTGGGTAACCGCGGGTAACCACTTTATTAAATGAGTTATTAAATTTTTGATATAAAAATAATTTTTTAAAAGGTGAAAAATGACATTGCCTAGACGACTTAAAACTTCAGAGCCACTTTAAAGATTCGTATATCTACAAGATGAGAAAGCAAACAATTTAAATTAATTTGAAACTAAAAATATTTAATCTAAAAAATAATTAATCACGAAAAATATGGTAATAATCAAACAATATTGTTAAAATCTATTAAGAACTTTCATTCCAATATATTTAGTACATCTATAATCTATATATACATAGTGGAAAGAGAAAAATCTCATATTTTAATAGTTGTGAGACAAATAATAGACAAAAATGTAATAAAAATATAACTAAAAATAAACGGGGCGGGTACGGGGCGGGTAATGGGGCGGGTAATGGGGCGGGCATGTATAAAACCGTAACCGCCCCATTACCCGTAAAAACAAAACGGGTATTCCCCGCCCCGTACCCGTTACCCGGTCAAAGCGGTTTTCCCCATTTTGACCGGGGTGGTTCGGTGCGGGTATCCATCGGTTCGGTCACAAATGCCATCTCTAGTGGGGGGGTACGCTTTACAGCTAGCGGTAGGGAAGGATTTTGTTTGTCACCCACGGCCATGTGCTTCGGGGGGCAGGAAGCGGAATAGGTGGACTCGAGATAGCGGCTTTGACGGGAAGAGATTCTCAAAAGTCACGTGACTTGAAAAAATCTCCACCCCGTCATGGAAAGTTTATCCTTTGTAGTTTGTACCATTCCATTAATTTAGGGAGTAATAATAATAATACTCCGTAAAAGTATAAGCAATTACAAATTTTATTGACATCAGATCTAAACTGGTCTGATCAGATTTATATTATGCTAAAGATTAACTGAAATGTTACAGTCGCATTGTAACACTATTTGAGTGCCCGGATCTGAAATTAATAAATTATTTTATTTATATTATAACATGTGTTTATCATGGTGATTTTATGTGTAATTAACTGAGAGCTTATTCCACAGTAAGCTAATATTCATAATTTTAGTATTTTATATTCAGTTCTGGAAAATAATTTAGGGAAACCCGAGAGGGAAACCCGGTCCTCGAACTGTTGTCCGGTCGTCGCGATTTGGGGTGGTTTCTGTTGGATTTTTTTGATGAAAATTTTTGAGCATCTTATTCATCAAGTCTAGTTTACTCATACCTAATTTCAGTTAAAAATTTAATCGGGAGCGCATTCAAATTAATTCGAGAACGCAAAAATGCACAGTTATCTTCAAGAATTAATTTGAATGTGTTTCCGATTGAAATTTTAGCTGAAATTTGGTATTAGTAAACTAGACTTGGTAAATAAGATGCTCAAAAAATTTCATTAAAAACTATCACCAGTAACTATCCCAAATCGTGACGGTCGGACAAAACCTCCTATAGAAGGACTTAATTGACTTTTTTATAAAAGTTTGAGGATCTATTTCATAGTTTTCCCATTAATTTAAAATGAGTTGGTTCTTCGCAACATAGGTTTATTCTACGTGTAGTACAATTTTACACAAATCCAATCAAATTTTTCATGATTAAAATAGGTACTCCGTATTAGCATTTGTCACTTCAGCTGATCAAAAGATTCAATTCAAATGAAGCACCTATCAAAGATAAAAAAGTACTGCACTTCTATGAATCGGTGGTGTGATATTGAGTATTCTTTTTTTAACGAGTATGTAGTACTACTTTGTTCAATTGGGTTTTGCAGTCTATGAATTGGGTGAGAAATAAGAATAATAAATATTATGTGATTGAAATTATGGAGTACTTTTGTTTCAATGGATTTTGCACTCATTGAATTAGTTGAGAAAGAACAATAAAAATTATGCGATTGAAATTATTAGAAAATTCATATATGTTGGGCTGCCCCCGTCCATTTAGCTTCTCTTGGGCGCTGCTTCTCTTTCCTTCAAGCTTGGCATATCCCGCATTCTTTTTTCTTCTTCCTTTTGTTTATTTTACTTCAGCGGCGTCGGAGAGGAGGTTTGGGGTGCTAGGGTAAATTGTGATTTATCTCACTCCACTGAGAATTGAATCCGAGACCTCTCAGCTGAGCTCACCACCATCTTCAACCTTGCCGCCCTATTCTATTTCACGCTGGATTTCTATTTTATCTTTTTATGTTCGATGGGGAGGCAGATAGGAGTCCAACCTCGCTTTGCCGCCATTGATGTCCTCGCTTTGCCGCCATTGATGTCCTCCACGCTCAACGTCATAAGCCTTTGTCACCCAACCTATGCCGCCACTTGCAGCCCCAATCTCCATCACAGCCAAGCTATAGCGTCAGATCTAACTATTAGAGTTCATTTTGAGGGCGGCAATGGCATTCCGACTGTGAAATTAGGGCAGCGACGCGAAGGGGGTTAGTGGGCTGGAGGTAGCATCTCGTTCAAAAACCAAAATGTATGTCCTTGGTGGGGAAAGATACCAAATAGTTCTTCGTATGATTTCAAAAGTCAATATTATCTTACGAGACAATCTCTTTGTTTGCAGATAAAATTACTCTACCCCGTTTGTAGTGTTGTGCTTACTTGACTATCATCACTCTATTGGTGCTTCATGGCAAAAACCATATGCATTTCTAGATATATTTGGTGTTAAATTATTTATGTGTGTAATGGTTTAAGATATATTTCTCATACATCTTTAGATAAAGATTTACTTTCTCATTATTCAAACTGTAATTGAAAATTTGAAGAAAAGCTATGAACATAAAAACAATTTGCGTATCTATTTTGTACTGTCTACATTAATTGGCTTATTATACTTAATTATATGGCTTTAAACAGGGTTTAGCAAATAATTTTTCTTTTAGAAAAGTCAGCAAATTAAGCCATTTTGACATAATAATTTCGTGGGTGAATATCACGGTCACACGGTGTTATAGGAGTATACTAATAATTTGTAATAACTTAGAAATTATGGTCTAAATCAACAACAGGAAGATTTTCCTTCACTAAAATAGCTTGGTGCATGCTCCACTGAATTTTCTTAAATCCAATTAATTTGAGAAAATGACCGCTTTGGATCAGAATCAAACAACTTGTTACGTAGTATGCTTCTTTACTACCCAGACACCGAAACAAAACGCGGGGCACAGGGGCGGAGCTAGAGCACTAGGCCGCACTGGGCCGATACAAAGAATATTTTTTGAAAATTTTTTACACAGAATTTTTTACACTAAAAATACAGACATTTTTAAAATTTGGGCTGGGCCAGGACCAGGGATGGCCCTCCCCTAGCCCCGCCCATGCGGGGCATCGTTGCTTCAATGTCTTCCAAAGAAGATTAAGAATCGTATCTCTCTAATATTTCACTGATCAAACATGGAACACAAGAAAAACTTCATCTTTAATTTTTTAAAATTAAAATCTCAAAGTACTAATTAAGCCTTGTATTCCAAACTCTTCATTTTTCTGGTTGGTTTTCATTAAACCCCTATCCATCTGGTTTTCATTAAACCACTATCCATCTGGTTTTCATTAATGTATATATGAAACAAATGTAGTTGTTGGGTTAATACTCCCTCCGTAACTTAAAAATCTTCCCACTTTCCTTTTTCGTCCGTAACAAAAAAATGTTCTCATTTCTAAATCTTCCCATCATACCCTCAATAATTTCTAAAATAATACACTATTACAACTACTTTTTTTGGATTTATCCTACATTCCACCATATTATTCCACAATTTTCCCATCATACCCTCAATAATTCATATCATCTTTCACTATTCTTAATCTACCTACTTTTGAAATGGGAAGATTTCAAAGTTACGGAGGGAGTAGATAATATACCCAAAATGTACATTCCCACTGGAAACACCAACAGGTAGTCCATTGTGTTGATCCTCGCCCCCACACAAGGGCAGTTCACTGCCACCACCCTTGATTATTGGCAATCCGCCTTCACTTTAAAGAATCTGAAGGAATTAAAAAAGGATATGCCATCCTGTTAACTCTCTTATATGCTTTAAACATGGGTTTTTGTTTGTGTTTTCAAATGTTCCACACCAATAGTCATTCTCCTCTCTGCAAGTATCTGCCCTTGTGTTCAGCTACATCCATATCGGTTATTGGTTTTGTGATGTTTGCTTTAAGGTAGTTTGGAACTAAATCATTTTGATTGAATGCGACCAAAAAATTAACTTTGAGTATTAAAACAACTGAAAGACAAAATAAGTTGTTAAAAAATAATTTTAAACGACAAAATTCAACTTCTTTAAAACAAGTGAAAGTTTGACAAAAGAAGTTATTCTAATTATTGTCGAATGTTCTAAGCACATTGATATTGTAGGAACACCAGAGGTTTAGAGTGGAAAAGGGCATGCGGTACAATGTTTGGTTCTGAATTAAGACTTCAAATCACAAATTAATAGATTGATTACTTCGATAGTTTACACAATGAATTACAACTTTTTATTTTCCTAACTATTGAATATGTAAATAAATAAAATGTGCAAAACATGATCCAGAAGTAGAGGAAGACAGAAAAAACCCTTGAAGATATTCACACATGTATTTAATCATACAAATTTATCTTCAGTATGATCAGTTCGATATGTGAAGAAATTTTCAAGCTGTCCTACACTTTGTGGGAATAGAGTTTCTTATCTCATATGGTAATAAAATTTAACAATTTTGCAAAACTGTGCGAATTTTAAGGACAAACACCACTCTTTCCCTACATATTAGGTCATGAAGGAGCAAGGTAAGTTAAGTATTTGTCTCTCTAGTGAAACCAATTTTGCTGCTTTAAAATAATT